GATCTTCTAAGTTTTGTACTGATCGGCCAGGCCGATGTCCATATCGGCCAGGACAATAATGTTGGTAACTTGCAATTAATGAGCTCCTTTGAAGCTCTTCTATTTAAGAGCTCTTGTTCAACGTTTTTGAACATCCTTGGCTGCTGTCTTGACCTGAGAAAACCTAAAGGAGAGAGAGAGGATCTTGAGAGGGGGAGATTGTAAAGGGGTTCACAAGGGTTGCTCCAAGCATTGTTCCATTTTTTCTTCCCTAGAGTCTCTTGTCCTTAGAAGGATTGGGAGATGTAAGTTTCAGCACGTGATCGTGGTTCTCTGCCTGCTTCATGAGGAAGCAAAAGGAGTTGGGTTCTCTGTCTTGCCGGGTGTGGCAAAAAGGTGTTTTTGTAAGGGCTTCTCCGCCTAGCTGTGGGGGCTAAATATGAGTCACGTTGGTAGTGCAATACTCGGAGGGGGCCTCCGGGGAGTGGACATAGGTCAAGTTGACCGAACCACTATAAACCCTTGTGTTCCTTTTTACTGCTTCCGCACTTTAATTTTCAGCATTTGTTTTTCTGTTGTGATTTTGGTTTGTCATAATCGTTCTTTTGGTTTTAAAGAATTTTTAAAATACCAATTCACCCCCCCCACTTTGGTTAGCCTCGGGACTAGTTCATAGGGCCTAACATCCCTAACAAACTTTCAGACGACAGAGGCTTGAGCGTTGTAGGGCTGCGAGATGGATTGGACAGTTTTCTTTATCATTTTTCTAATAGGTAGCGTCCCTTGGTGTTATTAACTTGACTTTATCTTGTGTTTAGTGTGTGAGAATGATGTAAGAAAAAAAAGCAGCAAAAAGAGAGCGAGAAAGAAGAGAGGTTTTTACTTATTTCTTTTCATTTTCACATTGGATTTCTTGGTGTGGTGTGGCTATATTATTTTTTTCCCAATTTTGAGTTTTCCACGTCAAATCCTAGTGTCATTTTTTCTTTCTACTGCTTTTACTTGTTTGTTTCATTGCAATGTTTTACTTCCATCCCAAATATAATGTTGTGGGGTTGGAGAGAAAATTGAAGATCAACGGCGATACCTCGTCGAAAATCACTTTAACTAGGCACAAATCTGAAGGTATATTTGAATTGGAAAGTTCTGAAATAAAATTCAGGACCATCTGAACTCTAATTTCAACAAATTTATTGACGAACTAAACGTTCCAATGAGATGAACCTAACCACACTATATGTGGTCAAATCCAAGCTTGAATGAGCCCAAATCAATGGGCTTAAAGCAAAATTGAAAACTTAAGGAGTCAATATTTAGATGACCAACTGATCGACAAATTTGGGATGCTTATAGACTTATAGTCAAATCGAGTAGGTCACCGAGACGAATCAATAAGCCAAAGATTGCTATACTCCAACAACATTAAGGCATTTCAATGTTAGAAGAACATTCCATGATTAAGAAAATCAATATTGGCCGTCACAAAAAGTGTTACAAAACTTCTCTTTATTTGCAAGCATGTCAATATAAAAATCTATAAACAGGATCTCATTCTCTAAACAAGATGAGAGGAGCTTGGAGCACTTTGACTTGAGATTCAAGAGAGCTTTGAAATCTAAAATCTAGGAGCATCATTGCCAGGTCATTGTCTTGACGGTCTTCATCGATCCTTCGTCAGATGACCACTATTCTCCTTTGAACTCTGTTGCTTGCTTACTACGATCCTCCTATCACCATCGCCCTACTACAGCCCTCAAACCATTGTCCCTACTTTGTACGATCCTTCTGATCTCCTTCGTACTCCCACTACAGTCCTCTGTCACTTGCCAACCACGATCATGCCGACCTCCATTTCCCAATGACTATAGTGTTCATACCACAGTTGCCCAACTATGATCCTTCTAACCTCTATTGACCATCAATTATAGTCCTCACACCACCATTATTCTACTACTCCCTTGAATCACCATAGCCCAACCACGGTCTTCAGAACACCATCGCCCAACCACAAACTTTCCAACTTTCCTTGGCCACCAACTAAATAACTCAAACTTCTATCACCCTTCAACTATGATCGTAAGACCACTATCACTCTATTAAGGTCTTCCAACCATCGTTGTCTGTCATCCATAATCCTTCTGATCACTATCAACCGCCTATTATAGTCCTACTGCTTCCATCGCCTGCCGACTATGATTCTCCGACTTTCGTCGATCGCCAACTATGATTCTCCGACCACCATCGCTTGCCCAACTATGATCCTACAACCATTTTCGCCCAACTACGATCCTTCGATCACCGTCTTCCAACTAGAACTACAATATTCTGATCATTATCGCATCGCTACTCCACCTATTGACTTCATCACCTACCATCGCTAATAATGCCAACACATATGGTTACTTATAAAATTGATACACGTCGTCAAAATCAACTTTGATTCCTGACATTGGCCTTGATTATGTTGGAGTATTTGATCTCTAGTCTCCTTTTCTCAAAGGATTATGACCGGAGAAGAAAGCAAAAAATCTCTTAAGAATATCACTTATGCCAACAGTTCTTTTAAATTCAACTATGTAATATATTGTTTACAATGTATCAATGTCTCCCCTGAGGAAGAGCATTGCTTCTAATCAAATACAAATACTAATAGAATGATTTTAACTGCGTCAGGCCTGGTGTTTTTCTCTTTCCTAGGTTTCTCATGTAAAAACTCTGATGTCTCTTATGATGTTTGTACTGTTCTCTTATTTGAGTGTCTATTGGATCTTTGTGCATAACAAAGACGTTAAACTCATCTATGTATTGCTGAAAATATTCCTACACAGAACAATTGCCTTGAACCTTCAAGATATCTATGAAAAAGTTGGGAAAATCTGATAGTCTTCTGGACAAGGGTGGAAATGATATTTTTAAGTGTTCTTCCAAAATGATATGCCTTTTTGTTTTCAAATTAAAATATTTGGAAGTTCTAATATTGTGAAGTTTTTAATTAAAATTATAATCTTGAGAGAAATTTGCTTTTAAAGCACATGCATTAACTAGTTATTATCACTAGAATGATGCTCAACCTGTCAAGTAGTAGTAATCAAGACAATAATGATAATAATTGTAAAAAAACTAGCAATTTAATAATATGAGAAATAATAGTAATAAAGTTCCAAAGACCAATTAAGTTACAGCTAGGGGTAGCACTTTTCATTTCAATTAAAATCAGCCATACATCATTCAGAAACATTTATAAGCATTTTTAAGAAAGTATAGAGATTATCTAATGAATAAAGAAATACCTCTACTAGTTAGAAGACCAAATTCAATTCCAGAAGAAACACAAGAGCTTACTCAGTTAAACATATAAGAAACAACTAGAACTTTGACAATTTCTTACCCTTAGTAAGAAATTGATTAAAAAAAGGATGAAATATACAAATGATATAAAATACATAACCAGAATCAGAAGGCTAATTATGTTAAACTTACCCATACCTACACAATACCCTGCACCTCAAAACCTTATCATGCACATAAAATCCTGGCATTACCATGATCTTCACTTGTGCTAAAGAATGTGCCCGTTGCTGCTTGTCTCTAGAAACATCCTCCATGTATAGCGGATCAAAACTTCGGTTCTCATCAACCCTCAAAATCAACAAAGGAGGATTGAAGGAGAATGCTAGTAGATGAAGCAGCCACATGCATTTGGCAGCAACGAAGAATGTTTGCAGAAGCAGCTCAGGCCATGGCCTTGACCAGTTCAATATAGAAACAATGCTGCTCATCTTCTGGTCACAAAAGCAGCTAAAATCATCACTGTAATACTTAGTCCCCTTTCTCAAAACCTCATTCCAGCTTAAATTCCGAAGAGAGATGAAAGATGAGAAGTTCTCCATGCGATCTTGATGAGGGTCAAGAACCTTTGGTGTCCCATTTTTCTGGAACACACAGTTTTCAAAATCTTGGTGAAGTGACTGGTTAATGAGAGCTTCTAAGTGATAGAGAACACCTTTTTGGTGCTTTTGGTCCAAATTTAATGGATTTGGATGTACGAGCAAGCTTATTTTCTCCAGCAAACTGCTGTCAGTTTTATCGATATTGTCAATAAGAGTCTTACAAAAGTGTTTGACGGAGAGTCTTGCTTCAGATACAACCTGCAGGAAGCCCTCAACCATTACATCATGGCTGACAGGCATGGAGTTTTCATTACAGGTGTGGTTACTACTAATTGGCTTTGTTCTTTTTAATGAGTTGAGAACTACTTTTTCTTGTTCTAGAACTGCCTGCTTAAGGGACTTCTTCAGCTCTTCACAATAGGACTCTAAGGTTATGAGCTTTTGCTGCAGCTCGCCTAGAGAAAACCTCATCTCTGCAACTTGAGCCAATGCTGCATCTTTCTGTTTATTGGCCTCAAACAGCTCCCTTTTCAAGGTTTCAAGTGAGAATGTTCCCCAATCCTTTAAAAGCTGAGGCATATCTTCTGATTCATTTGTATTTGGAGACATTTCTGGCTTGGTTTTCTTCTTTGTTTTATGAAACAACCATGAAAAGGTAGTTCCTTTGCTTTTTGATTGAGGTGGAAGTGAAGTAGTACGGATACCCACTGAACGAGCAACATTATTAACACCCTTGAGCTTCTTCTGCTCAGTACCAGCCTCCCTAGTGATAGTTGCGGGGTCGTCTGTCGTGTTAAATGTCACTGTTTTGAGTTCTCCTGTGGAGCTTCTCCTACTTAAAGACTTAAGGACATCAGCTCCTGGAGCACTTTGCATGCGTGGAATTTGGTTCAAGCAAAAAGTTTTGTTTGATAAATATTCATTTGTTGAACAAACCAGCGGTTCATCTTTTACGGAAGAAAACTTATTCACAGAATTTGTGTCAGACAGAACTAGCTCATCGCATCTGGCTTCTCCTTCCAGCCTAATTCCACTCCAGCTTTCTGAAAGGCTTCGATCTGGACGGATAAACTGATACCCGGGTAATGGTTCATCTTCATAAGTCTGTCTCAAACAATTATGGATCAGACTAGCAATCTAAACGAAATCACGCATGGGCAAATTAAATGTAGTCACAAGGAGGTCAAGTTGACGTGAAATGATACAAGTACTTTTGAGTTGAAAATTTGATAAACTGTTCTAAGGCAAAGAAAAAAATAATCATTTATCAAAATTCTAACTAATAATGTGGGTCCAATGCAGCAACTTTCAACCATCTAGCTAGAGAGAGAAAAGAACTAATATTATAATTAAAACCCAATGAAAAAGAAAAGACAAATGAAACAAAACAGCATTAGGTAGCAAAAGCAGTATTTTATAACCTGCTACCTTCAATACACATTGATAAATAGTAATGTACCCACTCTCGTCAAATCAAATGTCTTTATATGCTTATCATCAGCCCATATTCATAGTAGGTTGACTGAGTTGGACATTTTTAGTAATTTAGTATATTGCATTAGAAGGGATTAGTTGAAGGAGGGATTAATCAGTTTGGGGTGATGACAAAGATGTTGAACCATCAAGTGACCACATTCCAAAGAATTAATCTAAAAAGAATTGTAAAAATTGGGTCATCAGAAAAGGATCATTAGCTTCAACAAAACATTATAGTCAAATGCAAAATACCATGCTCTAATAGTAGAATTATGACAACAATGCCACATACTTTAGGCTAATTAATGCCATTGGATCCAAAGAAATATTGGGGAGAAGAGGAGTAAACACCACAATAACGAAACAAGCAAGAAAGTAAAAGAATTATAAAAGTAAAGAACACTAGGATTTAACGTGGAAAAATCCAAAATAGGTAAAAAAATCATGGAGCCACACCACACCAAGAAATCCACTATGAAAATAGAAAAATAGGATAAATAAGTACATATCTCTCTTTTCTCTCACTCTCTTTTAACTTCCCTTCTCATATGTACCGTTTTCAATATCTACACACACAAAATACAAGATAAAGTCAAGTAAAATAACCCCAAGGGACGCAACCCTTCTAAAAAACAAGAAAGAAAACCATCTAGTCCATCTCGTTGTGCTGCAGTACTAGTTTGGGGCGCTGCAACGCTCAAGCCTCGGTCTTACACCGTTGCACCGCTATATCTATACCGTTGCAACGTTTTGCTCTCTGTTGTTCAGCACTGGGGTGCTCAAGAACATAGCGTCAGGGTGCTCGGGTACGTAGTGCCGGGGCTTTGATCTCGAACCCAATCAGGGGGTAAACCCTCTGCACCCCCCACGAACACGACAAGCTTTGAGGTCCGAGACAATAGAATAACAAGATTGATCAACATAATCAAAGTCCACACATAACAAGAAAGCACCCAAAAATTCAAATAAAAGATTTTTTTTTTTTTTTTTTTTTTTCAATGTTCAATGCAACCATTCAATGTGTCTCAATAGCATAACATAAAACTGAGCCACAACAGGTATTAGTAATTAATGTAATAGAAAATGTGCAAATATTATATGTTATCAAATATAAGACTTTTGACCTAGATATAAAATTTTGATAGACGTAAGATATTGTACTTAAATATATGGTGTTTTATGCATAAATATTGGCTTCAATCAAGATATAAGCGTTTATCATAATTTCTTTCCCCTAGAAAAAAGATTTTATTATATATAAGATCTTTTAACCAAACATAAAAAAGTTTAAACCAGACATCAACCTTTATCAGAGATGAGGTTTTTTAACATGATATACGATTTTTGAGTCAGATATGAAAATTAAAGGCCATTAATTTTAGGCAGAGATATGGCAATATCTTCAAATTTTGAAATTAATCATGAAGTGCCATATGGGCTGCTGACATGGCTTAGTTTTAAGTGTGCATTTATTTGAACAAAATATTATATTATTCTTCTGAACAAGTAGTAGGACTATATGGTGAAAATCAGCCAGTAAAAAGATTTAAACATTAGAAATACAAATATATTAAAAAAAGGAATCCTAATAATATAATCATATGGTAATTTTAAAATATTCTCTCGTAGTAAGAGTCAAACGTAATACAATATATTGCAATTTCCATTATTGTATTGGTATTATTCATTTAAATTAATTTTTCTTTAACTTTTTTTTTTATTTTTTCCCAAAAAAATAGTTGATTTTTTACAAAAATCTTTATTTTTTTATTGTTGTCTAATCTAAGAAAAAATACTTTTATTGTGCTTAATGGACATGCTACAGAAGGAAAAAAAAAAACAACCGCCCAACCATGAACAGACAATAATCAACTTGCAATCTATATAATAGGTTGAACCAGAGCGTTTCCATTAAAATTACAAAAGAGGATTGTTAATTCAGAAAAAAAAAAATTACTTGACAACTACAAAATAAAAAAAGAAAATTTAAAGAAATAGACTAGGAAAAGTAAGGTGAGCATTCAACTATTTCACTGTCCTTTATACATCAATCTGGAACAAAAATCATACTATAATCTACTCAAGAACATGGACTAAATGTAACTCAATAAATTCTTGTTCTATACTTGAATGCTTTACCGCTATTGCTTTGTTTGAGTTTAAATCAGACACTTCAAGCATAAACAAGTTAATATTCGCTTCATCAAAAACACATTTAAACTTCACAGCTTCTTTAAAAGTAAAACCATCCACCTAAACCAAAACAACAGAGGACAGCGCAGCAGAGGTCTTAAAGTGGATCTCAATCAACTTACTACATAAGTAAACCCTAACAAAATTAATCGAACAGCGAAGCACCGAATGCATTTTCAAATCCCAAAATTGCATCAGGGATTTGATAACTAAATAAGGAAAACAAAATGACTTTTCTAGCACAACGCTTTTATGAATTCAAGAAAATCTCATAAATACATCCAAATCACAACAACTGAGTGTAGATTTCAGTCATTCGGGAACCAAGAAATCCAAAGGAGTAAGCCAGTGTAAGAAAGAAGAAAAGAAAAGGGGAAAAGAAAAAAGAAAGCTCACCGGAGTGAAGACAGGGTAGTCGTCAGCTGCGGAGGAAAACTTGTTGGATAAAAGAGGAGAAGCGCCGGCGAGAAACCTCATCGCCGCTGGGCTACTACCACTTCCTTGCAACAGAGCACTGTGGATGGCCCGGAGCTCCACGGACTTGGCCATGGCTATTTGTATATCCTTCTTCTGCATCCCTTCTATCTGCGAGTGAGCTGCAGACGAAGCCATGGTTGAGCAAAAGGGGAATCAAAGGTGGCCGTGTGCTCATATCCAGGAAAATTCCTGAGAGGGTTGAGGAAATGTGAGGGGCTGAGGACGGAAAATATTATGCGCCTACCAGTGGTGTATTGTCTGTAATATATATAATGCATGTCCTGTTGTTAGTGCCTACCGGTGAACGATGTGCAATGTAAGAAGGAAAGAAGAGCTGGTTCTCTTTGCTAAACCTTTGCCTATTTTATTAATTAAAAAATTTTAAACCAAGTATAATATATAAGGGAGATTATCATACATAATACTTAAAATTATCTTATTTAGACATGTAATGCTCAAATATGACTACTCACTCTAACAACATTTAATTTTTTAATTAATATCAAAATATCGTCTTCTATTAATGTTTTATTATCAATCCCGCTTGTGACTTTTTAACTCTTATTTGTTTTTTAGGGTTTTGGGGCAACTCCCTGCATGTTCCTTTGATGTCTCTTGAGAAAGATCTTATGATGAATTCCTCTCGTCTAATTTGTCATAGAAGTTTTCATTTTAGATGCCACATATCATTGGTCTCATTGAGGACAGATTGATGGCCTGTCTCAATGAGATCTAATCCTGACTTTCTTTCTTCTTTTTCTTCAAAAGTGCACATACCATTTGTCTCATCAATTGCCTTCCTCAGCAAGATCCCGTTGTGACATCGTCACCTATTCTTTTGCGTGCATGAGATGGGTATAAACTAAAGAATGTTTATGGGTTAATCATATAAATAAGATAATTTAAATTTTATATATGTAAATCTATTATCATGACACTTGCTATTTTCATCAAAATTTATCCATTTTTATAGAGTTTTATCTAAAGTTGTTCTTTGATTTTAATTGATTTAAATCATTTCAATATCTTCAATTGAAACATATGAAATGAAGTCAAACAATTAGAAAATGACCTAAATATGATCGAAACTAACAATGGACCTTAATTATTAATAGAGTGTATTCATTTTGATACCAAACTTCATTTCTCCAATATGGTGCTTAAACTTAACCAAATACGAGTATTCAAGTCCTTCAATCAAGAGAAAGATAAATATGAATGGGAATTAGATCAAATAAATTTTAACTATTATTGGGTATTTTGCTTTAGTTCCCTCTACTTTTCCAATGAGATGTATTAAGTACATTTACAAATCATCCTAGTATTTTTTTTTTTTTTTTTTTTTTTAATTTTTTTTTTTTTTTTTGCTTAAAGTTAACACTTAAAGTATGATATCTATTAGCCAGAGATGTTAGCATGGCTGCATTGTTTTATATTTAACACATCATATGTTATATTGGATTGATGAAGTATTGTATGGGATCTTGGTTCATGGAATACTTTCTTATAAGAATTTATTGAGATTGAATGACTATACCATAAGATGCCATTATAGAAGACTCAACCTTAAGAATCGTGCATCTCAGGATGTTTGTTATCTTGCCTTCCTTGTCAAAAAAGCAACTTATTGGCCTAAATTTATATGAAAATCTTTTTACTTAGATTATAAGTCATCATCAACTATAAGAGTTCTTTCCATATAAATCAAGAGATTACATCTCTTTTACCTACCATTAGAAGGTTTGACCTAAGGCCTCCACTTGATATAGAAGCTTTCCTTCAAAATGGTGATATTACTTTGAGTATTGTGTGAGGGTTTCTTTATGTGATGGATGCTCAAAGGGGTTTGTCAAATGTGGAGGGCAGGTGACACCTAAGAGCACCCCTTTAGGATTCAAAAGCTAAAGTTTGAAATGGGGAGAATCTAGGCCATTGAAATATTTAGAAGGGTTAGATAATGTTGAGATATGTTTAATGGAATTTTTTGTGAAGAATTAAAGTATTTAGAGTGTGTAACGGAAGATAATACTTAGGTCAAAGATCCTAGTATGGACTAACTTTAATTAGCCTTAAAATAATAGATTTGGAGAAGGTCTTAATAGTACAATTAGTGACTAGAAAATTTGTGAGTGTTAAAACAACATTTTAAGGGTGGTGGAGGAGAGATGAGGACTAAACTAGATCAAATGTTGGCCTAGTTTTGTAGACCCATTTAAAGAAATGGATAATTCTTTTATCATGGAAGGTGGGGATAAAATTATAAAATGAAGCTAGGAATATGAGAGAAAATTTTAAAAGAATAAATTAAACATGAAGGAGAATTAAATATAAAATTCTCTAATATGGAATAAGGATTAAAGGTTAAAATTTAAAATTTGTATTTTTAATATTTAAGTTTACATATCATTACAATTTTAACACTTTTTCATTAAAGAATTTTATTATTCATGTATGTTGATGATGCTCTCTCTTGGCCTTAGATTTCATTATAACATATTAATCTTGAAGGAAGGTGTCAAGGGGCATCATAACCCTTGATTTTAATTTAGATTCATGATCATTATATAGTAGCAATGCCGTGATAATCTTTTCCTTTATGTTAAGCATCAACTCTTCAAGGTTCATTAAAACTCTTCTCCATGACACTAAAATATAAGTATTCTTTAGCAAGTCTAGGTGCAATCTTTTCTAAGGCTTCCTTTGTGACCCATGTGTTCCCACTAGGTAGCTTATTTTCCATATGATAAAAAACATATGATACTTAGCTTGACTTATAGTCACCTCTTATGTAATAATAAAATATACTTCTTTTAATGGTTATGGTACATATATTTGGTTAGAAATAACTTCTGCCATTGGGTTAGCTATTTGGTTGAAAATAAATCTTGCAAATGGGTTAGCTGCATTAGTTAAGGTTGATTAATTCTTATAAGTGAAATATAATCTTAAATACTAATATTTAGACTAAATAACATGTCAAATGATAAATCAAAATGATATGCATCTTAAATTTTTAATAATTTTTAATTAGCCATAAGTCTTAACTTATAATTAATTATGTTTTAAAGATGAATATATCTAAGGACTCATATAAACCAACACACAATCACTTTCTTCATATTTTTTGGAAACATGATTATGATTTACCTTACAATATACTTTACATTACATTTAGCTATTTTTTCCCTTGCCTTAGTATGAGAGATTTAATAATCTTAAAAGATATAAAATTATAATAAAAAACATATGATTTGGGATAACAACCACGTTAATGAGTCTCGCTAGATTTTACCCATATAATAACATACATGTTAATTACTTGGTAATGTTAAAAATATTATTATTCTAGGTAAATTTAAAACCAGGTTGGTGAAGATCACAATTACATGAGCTCTGTCTTACTCAGCACCTTAAAACTTTTTATAGTATGTATCATCCATGACATTCTCAAACAATAAGTGAAAAATCTCACATTATTTTCTGACATTACAGTAGACAGTAAGTCACATAATCTCATTATCTCCCTAAACAAAAGACTTGAATAATATGTTTTAAGTAGGTAGAAAATGAGCCATCTTACGGTGTCTATCCACTATCAAAAAAAGACTATCATGCCTCTCTTGTATTCCTTGGTAATGCTAAGATAAAATATATAGATAAGTCCTCCCAAGGTTTAAAAGGAATGGGCAATATGTTGCATTTCCTCGATCTTTATTTTGTAGCTTAGCTTATTATCAAGTGTAATACTATGACACTAATCTTTAAATGTCTGCCTTTAGTAAAGGCCGATAAAACCTAGACACCATCAGAACAATTATCTTATCTTTTTTAAGAAGTTAATTATGCCATCAAAATGTAGCTTAGCTATGAGAAACTCCCAAGAGGAAGACCCACGAATACATAATTTATTCCCCTATACAGGTAACCCTCGACCACTAGGAAGGAGTTATGCATTGTGAGGAGATAATAAAGATGCTTAAGATAAATGACAAGAAAAATTTGGACATTCATAATAATGTTCCAAAATTATAAAAATTAGTGCCACAAAATTCAAGGAAGATGTACAATAGCATTTTAGATGATGCATTTATTTTTTAATTATCTCACAAAGTTATGTTTTAGGAGATGAAAACCCCTATAGGAATTCCACCCACTTGGCATGCTTTTGATTTAACTTAGTCTAACTGTTGATAAACTTGAAGGCATGATAATTAGTATGAAACATAAATTTCTTATGCAATTGGTAATTTCCCTAATATTTCAAAGATTTATTGATAGTATATAATTCTCAATCATATGTAGAGCTATTTTATCCAACATTATTTAGTAGCTCATTATAGATGGCTATTAGGTGATTTTCTTGACTTGGGATACAACCTATACCAGTTCTTGATACATCATAGGATACTTCAAAGGACAATAAATTCTTGGAGTCTATGCATTAGGGTAGATATTATAATGATCTTCACTAACTCTAGGACCTTTTATGTACTAAGAGCCTAGTATATAACCATTTATTTTGTAAGATATATGCTATAGGATGTTTTACGAGCAATGATGATAGCAAAGTTATTGATGAATCTCTTATAAAATGTAGCTATGCCAGGAAAAGTCCTATCATAAATGGAACTAGTGGTGGTGGGCTAATGTAAGATATTTTTAACTTTACAGGGATGAATTGTAAGTCAATGTGTAAATACAATGATCCCTATAAATATCATCTCATCAACAATAATAAATACTTCATTTAATTGATATAAAACTTTATCCCTCAAGCATCTAAAACACAAACCTATGGTGTTCGATATGCCCACTATCTTTAGACCACCAATATTTTTTAATATATGACTTCAAAATAGTGTTCATTAGCCTCACAAAGACACCAAGAGTATTAGATAAGAGTAAGATCATGACTAACCATTCAAAAAGATCACATGAGGCCTTGAAGGCGATCTTCAAATCATCTCCTACTCTAATCATGATTTGGTGATATCCACTTTTAAGATATTTTTGGAGTAGTTGTAAAGTTCAACATGTCATTAAATCTAGGAATAAGGAATAAATGCTTAGTAGTTATCATATTAATGGGTCTATTATCCATATGCATCCATCTTGTGTTATCCTTTTTTAGAGTTAAAAGAGAATAATTGTATAAGGGCCAAGGATCTCTTTAAGGTAGCCTTTTTAATGTAATTAATTTATTTCCCTTTTCAACCTAGCATACCTAGTTAGGTTAGTTATGAAAAATTTCAAATAATTTTAGAAAACTTAAAATTAATT